CTTTTAATATGATCTACAAGTTTACTTAACAAATCAAAGTAAATTAAGACCGAAATATTTAATGTTTAATTATAGCTAAAAATTTGCATTAAAAATGCGAAAATTCGGATACATTTCATCATATATATATTAATAGCGATTATATTTATATGAAAATTTAAAGATATGAACATTTTATTATAATGAACAACTTTACTTATTACACGGAAGACGGTTTAATTAATAAAAAAAATGTTTTATTAGAAGAAACATTTTGGATGATTATTTCTATTTTAAGGTGCCTGATGATTTTTGTATCCCCTCTGTACATAATTTCTTATAAATAAATATATAAAAATCAATAAATGCTATTTTCAATAAACAATAATATATAATCTGATAATATTTTCATAGTATAAAATAAATAAACTGGCATTTTCTGTACATTTCCCAAATTTTTTAATATTAAATATGGGTCAGTTCTAGGTTCTGATTTTAGAACTTTTATAGAACTGGTTCATTTTAACAAACCGGTTCTAGAATCAAACTCAGGAACTGGTTCTAGAACCCAACTTAGAAACTGGTTTTAGTTATTTGCCGATCATAATCAATCGTTAATCTGATTCTATTTCGATAATCATTAGGGTTGGATTAGTCCAGACTGGTCTTTTCAGTCCACAGATCAGTCTTTGAACCAGTTCATTATGAACTGAATCAGACTGAAAAAAAATTTGAGACCGGTCTTTTTGGACTGGACCGGACCAAACCGGACTGATCCAACCCTACATAAAAGGCAGATAAGTATCCCATTAGAGTAAATACCAGGAATAATGTTAACTTTCTTAAAGGAGAGATTAAATGGATATTTGTTTGTAACAAGGCCAGGGACATAGAGCTATGGAGGACAGAGATGCCTAATGATTCAGAGGATACTTTTACAAATCTCGTTCTTGATGAAAACAATAATTTGAAAAAACTAACAGAAGGAGAATTTAAATGATTTTGGGAAGGAGATCATACTCATATCATCATAGATTCACCTACTTTGGGTTTGTAAAAGAAGAAGAATGAAGAGTTGAATGAAGCAATGGCACTTTTAAAAGTACGGGATCAAGGTAGGTAGTTATTCTTAGAGCTTAGGGATATATTCTTTGGATTATGATATAAATTCTAATATAAAGTTTTTAGAAGAGCATAATGAGCAGGTTCCTGATGCTGAAGAAATAAATAATGATCAGATCGATAATGGTGGAGAAATAAATGATGATTATTATTGCTTCTCATAATAGCTCAGTTATCATTTTGTGTTTGGTATACATAAACAGATTAGAAAAATTTTCAAAAAAAGGCAATTTGAAGTCAGTCATACTATTGATAACAATAGGATAGAAACATTTGAAAGCTTAACTGTGTTTGAATTGAGAATTATTAGAACGCATCCTTATTTTTGAAATCTTAGAAAGGCTGGTGGTAATGCTTATAATTTTTTTTCTATCACACGAGATGATGAGAAGAAAAATATGTAACAGATCACAAAATAGTAAACAATCCTATTAGAGAGTAGAATATGTAATTTATTTAGCATGTAATATGATTATCTTACCTCACTGTAAACTTTCTATTGTTAAAAGTCATATGACCACGTAAAAATAAAAAATTCTACTGTAGTATATGTAATATGCGGAATCGAAATTGAAATCCGCAGTGTATCTTGTGATAACTCAGTCATTTATTTTTAGCGGATCTATTTATAAACCCGGCCAAGAAAAATATTTTTGTAGCTTGTCATGCAATTTTTTCTAAAAGTTCTAGCATATAATTTATCATACAGATTTTCACAAATTAATGATTTGCGAGAATCCAGTGTCCCTGATTGCCAAAAATCATGATGTTAGAATGGAATGAAAATGGAAATTGGGGTAAGGTCTATTAACAGATCAACTCAATTGCCTCAGAGTAAATGGAAATTTTTATTACCCGTTAGTGTTAGCCAAAGACGCGTAATCCCTAATAAATATTTCATTTTTGGTGATTTAATCGGATTTGACGTATTAACGAAATTTTCATCCAAAGACCTTATACATACTGCAAATTATATAAAAAAGGTGGTGCCAAGTTAATGAATCTTTTTATTCACCTTGTGCAAATATAAGCAAGAATTAAACAAAAAATAAAAATAAAATTTCAAACCTACCATTATTTACAATCAAACAAATAAGTATAATCCATAAAGTACATCTGGAACTTAAATGCGACGTAATATTCCGTAGATTTACGATTTTCGTAATATTTCAGAGTATTACGTTGTAAAACTATGCGAGTTTACGAGTTT